AGGGCCGCAGGAGAAAACTGACACTGTGCCAGGGGACGGGGAAGGCGCCTACACACTCTCTACCCCCGAAGCCCCACTTACAGTAGATAATCGGCAATGTGGCCCGAGACTTAAAGGGTAGGACACTTCTTCAGGTTTTGTTTACAAGAAGGAAACATGGCAACAATCTAACTATATAGTAACGGAGAATTAAGTAAATCATGTCATATCCACATAACTGCAACTATGCAATTATTAATTTTCAATAATTTAGGGAAATACACAACATTAAAAGGAACTATAAACTGTGAATACTCTATGAGTATTATTTCTAATTTTGAAAAAACACAAAGAAATGCACTAGTCCCTACCGTATGGTTAGATTACAGGTAATCTATATTTTAATTTTTGTCCTTATTCTTTTCAGTATTTACCTATTTTTTTTTTCAGTGAAAACGTTACTTTTACAAATGAGGGGAAACGTAATTAAAAGGCCTTGCAAAATGCCTGCAGATAATAGATGCTCAAAGAGTGTCTGGTGCATGACAGTGTGCTTAAAAAGAACAATCAACGCTGCCTCCTGCATCACCAGGAAGAGCAAAAGCTTGCGGCTTTCCTGGAAAGGAGGAAGAAAGGACAGAGAGCAAAGCTGCAAACCCAGCTGCAGAGGTGGAAGCGGAAGGAAGCAGGGGAGAGCGCATAGGACGCTGGGAGCTTAGACCCCACTTCGCTTCGCTGCAGACGCCTCCTGTGGCCTACGGAGCCCTACAAACCAACGTTGTTCCCCCCCACCCCCATGGCCGCCCAGCAACCCAGCCTCCAGCTCAGGCCACACAGTCACCAAGCACAGCTCACAGCCACACTCAACCACGACCTGTGGCTCAGCCACAAAGGCAAGTCCCATCCCAGGGCTGAAGTTCCCCGCACGCCACCAGACAGAACCAGCAGCATCACGGGCAGCAGGGCCCAGTCTCTGGGCTCCCAGATGAGAAGGGCTGGTCCAAGTGGCACCTTTTGAACCTAAAAGCTTCTCAGGACCAGTTTTATTGTTTTATTTCACCAGAAAGCTCATCATCTCTCTCATCTCCAGCCCCACTACAGGCAATGCCTTTCTTTTTTTTAAATTTTTTAATTTTTTAATTAAGATTTTATTTATTTGCAGAGAGAGGAGAAGAGAGGGAGAAAGTGAGGAAGAGAAACATTAACGTGAGAGAGATAATGGCTGTTTGTCTCGCATGCGCCCCAAATGGGGGCCTGGCCCGCAATCTAGGCACGCGCCCCAACTGGGAATCAAAGCGGTGACCCTTCAGTCCGCAGGCCGGCACTCAATCCACTGAGCCACACCAGCCGAGGCTATTTCTTTGTCCAAGATGGCAGACCCAGCCAGGTCCCTAAGGTTACAAGGGAAAAAAATCTTTTATTTATTTTTAGAGAGAGTGGAAGAGAGAAACAAAGAGAGAAAGAATCATCGATGTGTGAGAGTAACATCAACGGGTTGCCTCTTGGCCCGCAACCCAAGCACGTGCCCTGACTGGGAATCGAACCAGTGACATTTTGGTTCACAGGCCGGCACTCAATCCACTGAGCCACACACCAACCAGGGCCCAGGAAAAAAATCTTAAGAAAAAAATCAAGTTATGATTTGAAAAAAAGATAAGTGTGGTGAGCCTGGACTGAAATATAAGAATCAGAGTACAAAGCCAAACATATCTGTGGGAGATTTAATTTTTCAGAGGGAAACGTACTGCTTAAAAATCTAGTGTAGACAGGCCCTCTTTAATACCTGCCCATCCCTAACAAGATGCGTGCATGTGACAGTAGCGAAGTCTCATTATCAAATTTAGAAAATACATGTACTGGCCCACCTGGACTATAATGGTTTGAAATAGAAACCAACATAGAAATGATCAATCTTAAGCAGCAGAATAATGAGACACGTAACCAGCATATAACCATCAGCAACATGAGTCAGTACTTTGTGCAAGGCGAAAAAAAAAAAATCTTGAAAGTACAATAAAATAATCCTTGGGGGGGGGGGAGAACTGAAATTTTTAAAAGGGGGTGATGTGAGCAGGCCAACAATAACAAAAAAGGCCCCGGCCAGGCCCCAGGCAACCAGACCAGGCCTGGAATTAGTTCTGACTCGCCATTCCTGAAATTCCACTCTCCCAAGGCTTTCAGCTCTTCCTTCCCCAAGCTTTTTTTCTTTACCCATTTGGACCCGAAGGAGACTGAAGAGGACCCAGGGAGCTAGAGGAGGCAGCAGGCCCCCACAATGGGCAGAGACGAGGCCCCTCCGCAGTGCCCGTGGATAACTAAAGAACCAAGATTCACAAGTAACCAAACAGCTTGCGGGAAGGGACGACCAATTCCTCTCCTTCCCCAACCAACTGCCCAGAGCCAGAGACAGAGCGGGCAGGAATGAAATCAGATAGAAAGGATGGGCCAAGAACCAGGAAGGGGGGTGGGGACTGAAAGAATGACATGATCCTGTTAAAATGTCTCAGTCCCAGACAGCCAGGAGGCCTTGAAGGAGGCGACGAGGAGACTTTAAAAAAAGAACAAAACCAAGATGGTTGTGGGAGTGCCAAAGGAATCAAAACAAATTTCCCATCAGACTTCAGAACCACTGTAGTGAGAGCGGAGTGTCCTGTCTGCAAGCAAGCTTCAGGGCTGGCCCGCTGTGGCCGGTCTCCACCCTCACCTGGGGCCAAGCCTGTGGCCAGTCTCCCCCACCAGCCTCCCCCACCAGCCTCAGTCCTTCCTACGGCCTGCAACACACAGCGGCCACCCACGTGGGGCGGAGCAGTACAGCTCCTCCAAGCCACGCTGCTGCCAGGCAGCGGAATGGTCACCGCGATAGCAAAACACTAGAGGGGACTGAATTTGGGGAGGGGAGGCCACACACATTTCCATGAATGAAGAGAACTGGAGCAAAGGACATGAGATAGGAAAAGGGAACCAGAGAACTAGGTAAGCACAGAAACAACAGACATCATCATCAACCCCTGCGGCTGGAAGCCCTTCGCTACAGATGGCACGGTGAGGCTCCCAGGAGCCCCAGCAGATTCATTAAGACAAGGCGTAATTATTCCCATTTTGCAGATGCAGGAGCTGAGGCTCAGAGACTTGCGTAAAGTCGGCCAACAAGGACCAGAATCCAGGCTCCCGGAGACACGCCTGCCCCAAGAAGCAGAGGCTCCCCAGGTGATGGCCTGTCATTCCCAAAGGGAAGCAGCTGCCTTCGGCCTCGGCCTCGGCTTGTTGTTCCCGGCGCCTGGTGCTGTCGGTCCGGCTCTGCCTTACACGGGCAGCAAGCACAGCCTCGCAGCGGAGAGCCACCCTGGATCCAAGCACAGGGGCCTGGGACCACAGCCCAGGTCTATTCCGTCCTCGAGGGCCCCGAAGGCCACAGTCCCACCCTCGTCTCCCCAGAGGCCCGGCCCTGAAGAAGCAAGTGGCCACCGCGGAGCCCAGCACCTGTGGCATCTGCAGGATGGCTGCGCTCTGTGGTGGCACCTCCAGAGGCCAACTGCCACGCCAGAACTTGACAGCAATTACACAAACAGCCGTAGGAGGAACACCTATTGAGCACCGTGTGCCAGGCCCTCTGCTCGCTAGGCCTTTCACCACCTTCCCAACCCTACGAGGTAGAGAATGCAATGTCCCTACTGATGCCCCAGGGTTCACTGACAGAAGCAGGACGGGCACCCCAAAGCCTGCACCTGCCCGTCCCACCTCCCGCCACAGCGCTGTGCCCCGACAAGCCTACACGGATTTACAGAAGAAACCCCACCACGACTTCAAACGGATGGGTTCCCAAAACCGAACTGGATGATAATGTATAAAGCCACATAAAAATGCACATAAAACCTTAAAGGGAAAAAAAAAAAAAAAATCTCAGGGACGGTTAACAACCCTGTAAACCAAAGGCTTTTAAAGGTTTCTGCCAGGCAGCCATTTAGCAAATGACACACTCCAGAGAGCCTCCCAGCCCCCTTTCCTCCACTGTCTCCGAGCGAGCCATCCCCCTGAAAAACACCCCCTTCTCGCCTCAACGTGGGCTCGGGCCTCCCACGAGGTGTACAGAGACACAGAGGGAAAGAAAGAAGAAAACACCTTCCAGCGCTATGTTGGCAAATCCACTCTCCCGAGGCCCACGATGTCAGCAGCGCCGTTGCTTACTCACAGGAGGGGGGAAAGGCAGGAAAAAAATAAAAACCCCATCTGGCAGGCCCTGAGCAGCGACATCCTGTTTATTATTAAACATTTTCAGCAATAGAGCACTAAGCATTTTCAAAACCACCCTCCTGTGCCCGCACGGCAACCGCGGCCGAGACGTCGGGCTGTGGTCGCCCCACCCCACCCCCCCACGCAGGCCAGCAGCCCCCGGCCACCAACTTCAGCGATACTGGGGCGGGGGGGGGGGGGTGCGGCGAGGAGACTGCCAGCCCCACGCCCCGAAACGGCTCTGCGGCCCAGAGGGTTGCCCGACTCTCGGATCCCACCTCCGGGGTGGTTTTAAGAGAGCCGGAGGCGGGGGGCGGGGGCGCAGGAGGACCGTCCCCGACATCCCCAGCCCACACTGGCGGTCTGTCCGCCGGACCCCGGGGGCGGCAAGGCGACTCCTGGGCCCGGGGGTAGCGCTCCGTACCACCAACCCCTGACCCCGGGAGCGTCCCGGGAGCGTCCCGGCCGCGCTGCGCCCGAGCCCGGCCTCCGGGGGCCGCCCCGACCCCGCCGCCCGCCGCCCGAGCCGAGGCCGCGCGGCGCCGCCACAACAATGGCGAGCGGGCCCGGCCGCCCGCCTGAGGCCCGGCCCCGCAGCCCTCGCCCGGCCGACGGGCCAACGGCGGCGGCGCGGGGCGGGCCGCGCCCGGCGCGCTCGCGGACAAAGGTCGGCCGGGCCTGGGGCTCACCGCTGTCAGTCAGCGCCGCCGAGACAAAGCCGGGCCGCGCCGCCTCGGCGCCTCCATCTTAGCGCTGCGCCCGCCCGCCCCGCGCCCGCGCCCCGGGCCCACCTGGTCTGGTTCCGCGGGCGACACTGGGCCGGGCGATGGCGGTCGGGCGGCGGTCGGGCGCGGAGGCGGCGGGATGGCGGCGGATTGCGAGGCGGCGGCGCGGCTGCTCGCTCGCTCGCTCGCTCGCTCCCTCCCTCCCGGCTCGCTCGTTGCTCGCTCGCTCGCTCGCTGGAGCCTCGGAGCCTGTGTCTCGCCGCTCGCCTCCCTCTCGCGCGCCGCTCCCCGCCCCCCGCCTGCCGCCACCCCCGCCTCCTCCGGCCTCCTCCCGTCGTCGCCGCCGCCCGCAGCCGCGCCGCCGCCCGCGCAGCGCCCCCTGCCGCGCCTCCCGGGATCGCCGGCGCCCGCCCGCGGGCCTGGGGGGCTGGGGTCCCGAGGAGGAGGAGGGCCGGAGCAGGGGGTGAGGGGGCGAGAGAACAGGGGCTGCGGGGTGGGGGAGGAGCTCCGGGAAGACGAGAGCGTCCCGAGAGACGAGGGAAGCGAGCCGGCAGAAGGGCTCCGGGGCTCCGAGGCGCGGAGGGTCCGGGGAGCGGAGGGGGAGGGGCGGAGACCTGGGGGAGGGGTCGGAGCGAGCCACGGGCGAGCGGACCGGAAGCGGGGGCCTGGAATGGAGGGGCCGGGGCGGGGGAGCCCCGGCACAGGGAGTGCGGGCGGGGGTGGGGAAGGGGCGCGAGCCGGATCCCCGCCCCCTCCCCGCTCCGAACTGCAGCGCCCCCGGACAGAGCCGGAGCGCAGATTCCTCTGATCGAATGCGAGTGCGATAGACGCACGGAGCAGAAGCAGAAATGGTACATTGTTAATTCAAAAGCAAGGTTGTTACACGGTACAGCGACTTTACCCCATTTTTGTCAAAAGGAAAATAATAAACCCATCCTCCGAAGTGGGTATCTGTGGGGAGACCAAACAAAAGGTCTGGGAGGATATACTGGGCTGAGTCACCTTGGCGGTCGGAGGTCGGGCAGAGGTCAGGAGCACTAAGGAGGATTCTCCCTTCTTAGTCTAGGTAAGTTGGCCATTAAAAAAATACACAATTTGGAAAAGCAAAGACAGAAGGGTTGGGGACCTGGAATCCAAGCCATCCGGCTCCCCCTCGCCTGCCTTGTCCACACACCCCGCAGCCAGCCCTGCCCTCTGCGGCTTGGCCCGACGGGGGCTGTCTCATTCACTCTCAACAGTTGAGAAAACGGAGACTGAACAGTAACTTGCCCGCGGCCCCAGAGCTAAACCTGGGAGCAAAGTGAGCCTGCTTCCGCCCAACCACCAGGGATATGCGAGCCCTGAGCACAGTGCCTGGCACATGCTGGGCACTCCGTAAGTACAGGCTGGCTGTTTGAACGAAGGGAGTCTCTGGCCCTTGACCTTCTGGGCTGTGAGGTAAGGAACCCTGGGACTCGCTAAGAATCAGATTACCTTTTTTTGTTTTCTTTTTTTCAATTACATGACAAGAGAGAATACAGGAAGAAAAGCTTGACGACCCTTGAGTGCTGTAGAAGGTGAGGAAATAGTAAAGACGACATGGCGGGAGAAAGGTCAGCAAGGGCTCTACTCCTCTGGCAGAGCTGGAAGGGCAGTGATGGCTTCCGGGGACAGCGAGGGTTGCCAGGTCCCTGGGAGTGAAAATGACAGCAGGTGCCCCAGTTACACCAAAAACCCCTAGTGTTTTTGTCCTGGGTTCAGGAAATCCTTTTCTTTCTGCACTTCTCTGGGGTGACAGCCGAGACAGGTGCTGTTTACTGAGCACCTTTCCTGGGCAGCATGCTAAGCACTTTGCAAGAGAGAACTTGTAAATATTTGGGAGATGGTTCTTATTGTTCACACTATGGGTTAGGAAATTGAGGTCAGAAGTTCAGTGACCTTTGCCAAGGTCACAAAGGAGGGAGGGGGCCAAGGATTTGAGCCCAGCAAAGCCAGTCTTGGAGGTCTGAGCCTTTCCTAGGGGAGGGCAAGGCTAAGATGCCGGGATGGGCATAGAGACCATTGTCTGGGGTCTGAGGCTGTCAGCCAGAGCTGGCTCCTTGGGTTCCTCCAGGGTCTGAAGGTGCCCACTCCACAGCCAACCAGAACTCAGCACCCAGAGAGCAGAGAAAGAGGAAGGAAAGGCCCGAGCATGAGGGCTGGATCAAGGCTGGACCTTCAGGTCAGGTAGCCCCAAAGAAACTCCCCACGAGGTATGGGACACATTCAAGGAGGCGTTTTGTATTGTCAAAGTTACGCCAAGGAGCCCCGGCTGGCATGGTTCAGTGGATTGCGTGCGAGCTGATGAGTCGCTGGTTCAATTCCCGGTCAGGGCACATGCCTGTGTGGCGGGCCCGGTCCCCAGGTGGAGTGTGCTAGAGGCAACCTATCAATGTGTCTCTCATACATTGCTGTTTCTCTCCCTTTTTCCCTTCCTTCCCCTCTCTCTAAAAGTAAATAAAAAAAAATTTTTTTTTAAAGTTACACCAAGGAAACAGCAACTCTGGAGCAGGAATATTGAAAGAATGTAAGGAATGAGTGGACCAAGCTGCTCAAAGCTGGGGAGAGTTGGCATGAACCAATGAGCAAGAGTTCATTTCGTTTTTATTACTTTTTTCCTCTTAAATATGAGGAAACTTGCAACTCTGCTTATGGGTGGAGACATCTTTTTAGACTCCCCAGGGGGAATTGACCCCTCCCTCCCTGCCTAAAGCCGATTTTATATAAACATAATTTTCCCCACAAATGTGATCACTGTCTTTTGTTACCCTGAAATTTAATGTTTTGGTAAAAGGCTTATAACTTTCTCTTTATCCATGATTTTCTTTTCTAAACCACGTTTTGGCTAGAGGCGGGTCTCCTTTGCATTAATTTCACAAGGAATCTGGAATGCCCTGTCATTGGTCAGATGTGGATTCTGTGTTTAAAAAGAAAAGGAAAGAAAAAAAAAAGACTCATCTGGAAAGCAGCCTTCCTGTGCCTCCTCTTTGTTCCCTCCCCTTTCCTCAGGCTTCTTCTTCTCTAACCCCAGGGACACTTCCACAGTCCCTGTCTCAGTCTCGGTCTTGCTGTGGTTGTCTTGTCTCTGTCCCCTACAAGACAAGGAGCTCCTCCAAACAGTCACCGAATCATCCATCTTTTTTTTTTTAACTCCCCAGCCCCTAGCACACAATCTGTGGCAGGTAACAAAACAAGTGAGTAGCGAGAGGCTAAAGGAGAGAGAAGCTGGAGACTTGGGGAAGGGCTCCGACCCCTGCTGGGGCTATGGCCGGTGTGGCCTCAAAGGGAAGCCCAAGAACAGCTTCCCCTGGTCCGTTACCGGGAGACCCTGAAGACTTTGCTGGGCTTCTCTTACCCCTCCAGCAGTAATTGTTAACCATTTATAGACACTTTTAGGTGAGAACAATAAACCACAGACAGGTTTAGTGACGTGTCTGAGTTCACACAGGGAGCTGGTGACAGAGCAGAGAGAGAGCGCGCTGGGAGAGAAAATGCACCCCGGGCGAGGGCTTAAGCCAGCACCCGCTTCCCGAGGACCCCGCCTCCGCTCCATGTTTTTTTGGGGCAGAGGGTTTGTTATCACACCATTTCACAGATCAGTAAACCGAGGATCCACGACCCCTTCACCCGCCGCGGCTGGCTGCCAGACGCTGAGTCATGCCGCTGTGTTTGGGAGAGCCTTTCCTGTCATCTAGACCCTAGAAGGCCCCGGCATGTCCGTGTCCTGCTGCAGGGAAAGGAAGTAGAAGGTCACTTAACACTGTGAACACAAACACAGCCAGTCTTTAAAGCTCTGACCCAGGCACAGAGCCCAGGGGACGCCTCGGAGACCTCTCACACGGGCCCTGTCTGACATCAAGGTCACGCCCCAGCCACTGAGTGTAGTTCATAGCACGGCCATGCACACAGAGGCCCAGCCAGCTAGCCTAGGTCTTTCAGGGGGGCCTGTCCAAGCCAAAGCCAGAAGCAGGCGCTGGCACGGGGCCCTTCTGCCAGGCTTGGGGTCAGACAGACCTCAGTTAGATCTGTCTCTCTCCTGACTTTCTGGGTGTCTTTCGACAAGTGCTGGAATTCTCCGAGCCTCCGGAAACTGGGGAAGAGGGTTATTGGGAGGATTGAACGAGACGATGTGCTTGCCCGGCATCCCAAGCGGGCACCCGGCAGGCATTTCGCGCACGTTGCTTACTGCTGTCATTCCTTCCTGCTCGCAGACGCACCCCCGCCTCCCTCGTCGGTCATCAGTTGTGGTGCAACAAACAGACCCGAAGCTCGGAGGCTCCGAACAACCACCATTTGTTATTGCTCATGATTCAGTGGGTTTCGAGGAAGGTTCTTCTGTTGCGCCTGGTATTGACTGCGGTCAGTGGTGCCCCTGAGCTGTGTCTGCGTTGCCGAGGTGTCTCACCTTCCAGGAGTCCCCCTGGCGCCTCTCTGACAAAATAGTCTGGGTTTCCCTATAGCATAGCAGCTGGGTTCCAAAGGAGAGAAAGCATCAGCTCACAGGCCTTGTAAGGATGTCACGTCTGATGCGCTCCTTTGGCCAGAATGAGTCTCAGGACCAGCTTAGACTCAGGGGAGGGGGAGTAACCCCACTACTCCCCCATGGAAGGAGCAGCATCCTTGTACGTGGAGGGGGAGGTTGGCAAATTACTTGGAGGTTACCTCCCCTGCTCTTGGGACCCTTCGCTTTTCCCCACCCCAGGCCTTAACCAAACCTCCACTCATTCTGTCTAATAAAGACATTCTATCCAACTGCAAAAAACTTTACTGAACTCTGTAATGGCAAGACCAGTCCGAATGCTGAGAGATGGCAACAAGAGAAATAAATGATCTCTATGCTCAAAAAGATCCCAAGTTCAGGGGCATTCAAAACAAAACAACAACAATAAAAACTGCAACTTATCAAGCTCTCACCACCGGCCAGACGTGGGCAGCAGATGGGTCTGAATCGCCGGTGCTGGCCAGCTCTACAGCTCCCTCTTGGCCCAGAGGACAGCGGGTGACACGCACGCAGCTCGCTCGCAGCGTGGTCCAGGAGTGTGCGGCCTGCAGCGTGGGCAGCGACCGCATGTGCCAGGATTCCGGGACAGGCCCACTTTCCTGCTCTCCGCACCTGTTCTCCGAAGCACAACTGTGCTCATGCAAGAGAGATAGAGAGAGAGAGAATCTCCATTTGAGTTCAGAAAATGTGGTCATATTAACTGGAGGGGGAAAAAAACAATAGTCCAAGGAGAAATGGATCCCAGCTGGGGAGATGGAGGGAGCCCTCCAGGTGCAG